GCGCCCAGTCAGTACCTAACATTGCCAATTGCGTTGGTCCTCTCTCTGCCATTTTTTGAGATGACTCACTCCTTGCTCTGCTTCTTTTCTATTTCTCGGAAACCGCCCACTCCTTTATTTTCCCTTTACCCAGAATTCTTTGAGCACTTTTTTTATGGAAATCGCAATCATAATAATTCAGCATCATTTCAGAAATGCGCTCACGTGCTACTGGTCTGTGCTGACGATAATTGACAGGGCGTCATTTCTTTCGTGACATCATTGACGTCCATCGATGCTTTTGCTTGTTCATCATCCTATTTCATCCCGGGTCATACCAATATCCGATCCGACTTGCAGCAGCGTCTTCTTTGGATATTCCGATTTTCCTGTAGTCAGCTCACCTAGTAATCCTCGCCAGAGCGCTATCCCGACCATTTTCTCTCTTCCACTGTTTTGCTTTTCCTAAGGGGGCCCACATCAATACGAATCAACCCACCATACTGATCACACTGTACACTTGCAGGTGTTCAGATCAGTTTTTATGTAGGCTTCAACTACTTCTTTTCCGAATAGAGTAATCTATTCGAGAATATTCGATCCGACAAAGAAGTTTTTCAGTAACTCTTTACATTCTTCATTTCTATAGTCAGCCGTAAAAGTAGATGCTATTACTCTCTATGTGTTAGTAGTTATTGCTATCTTGAAAAATCGCTTTTTCCGCTGGTTTCTGATGATCTACCCTTGAGCAGTCCGCTAGTCGTCCGTCGTATCTTGATATTGTATTCGAGATGTTTTAATACATTTATATTAGCTTATCTCAAAGGGTATCATGATTTTACGGTAGTTATACGGTTCGCTATTCCGTGCAGAATTTTGTTTTTTTGTAATTTTTTGCGCTGTAGGCAACAATTGCTAGCAACGCTGTGTAAGGCAAGCGACACGAGCGATGTTACGCGAGCGACAGTTTGTCGCGCCATGCGCGACCAAGCGGTCGCTTCTCGTCGTTGCCGCGTCGCTTGCCTCTATTCAGTTGAGTGAACGAGTCGCTATGGGTGATTATTTTGTCAAAACACAATGGTTATGGTCCGTGTTTACCCCGTTCTCTTTCCATATGATTACGACGATTAATTTTTTTTGGGTGTTATCCATGCGGTGTTCTCCCTATATTTCTTCTCTCCGCACTACCGGTGTGCCGTTTTTAATTCCGTCCTAGGTTTCTTAATAGACATTCTTCACTGTTTTAAGCCTGTGTCGCCGTGTTCATCACGATTTCATGATGAAAATTGATATTGAGATGAAAAAAAGAAAAGAATGATGAAAATGAAATCATTCGCATTGCGACTCAGGTGGCATGTCTCTACCAATTCATTCGCACGCTCGAAATCTGGTGTCTACCACTAACGTCAATGTCTTCCTCCAATCTTCCCTCTTCATTATTGATCAGTTTTTAATGGCTTTTTAGCTTACAAAGCGTTTATGGTAGTTATATTATGTTTTTTGTAGATTTTTAGATTGTTTACTTTTTTGTCAAAATTACTTTTGTAACGTCATCTTAGGTATTTCGTGCACCGATTCAGCCATGTGAATTGTCTTGATTGAGAGCTAGCTTCCGCGGGTATGGAAACAATTTTTGAATGAAGATGTCTGAAATCCGATATGAAGTGTAGAACAAATGTACTATTAATGAACAAAATATTTATTACATTTAAATACCAAACTGTAAGAAAATTATACAGAATTCACGGGTTCGTCAATGTGTGGAGGTAGCATTCTGATAGTTGTCGAACTACTTTGCTTATGTTGTAGACCTGCATTTTTCAATACCAAGCCAGAAACCTAAAATCAATAGATCAAGTTTGAACACTGGCTTAACATGTGGTAGCTCTTAAGAGGTACAGACTACTCTGATCATATGGGCGGAGCGAGTCATGCCTTTCTCATGGGCGGGCACGTTGAACGTTGGGAGCAGAGCACTTATTACGTTGGGGAATCCACAGCGGAAGGGAGGGGGGAAGTGTCGTTTATGGTCGCTAGAGGGAGGGAGGGGGTCGTAATTGGTGTGAGAAGAAATTCTTGTAGTGGAATTTTCCTGTTTCACGGGCGCTAATTACTTCATTGGGAGAATTCCAGTGGGAGTGGGACGTATTTGCTCATCGTTGGAAGAGGGGGGGGGGTCGTACTCGCTCCGGAAAGAAATTTGCCGCATTGGGACTAGTTGAAGCCTGTAGGTGGTAAGAGGGGGCGGGCGGAACAGAGGTCGTAATTAACATTACAGGGATCTTATTTTTCAAAAATTTTCCCCAGCGGCAGAACGTGCCCTGGTTGGGAGCCCCGGAGAGGGCGTGTGCGTGATCTTCAGAAGGAGGGGGTCGTATTTGTCTTGGGAAATGTTGTCGGTTTTTCCTCCTGAGGTGCGCTACATAGTTCTCCCCTCCGCTCGGCAGCCGGGTTTTTTGAGTATAATGGGGAATTTTGAGGAATAAACTTCGGAAAGTGGTAAGAATTAGAGAAACGTTGGGAAAATGATAGCTAGAATGAGGTATGGGGTCGGGTCGTTTCAGAGAGGGGAGTTTTGAAAGATGGTATTCTGCGAAAATCCATCCTTAAGGCAGGACGTGCCCTGCTCACGGGTGCGCCCGTCCTTTCTGACCTGCTCAAGAAAAGAGGAGCGCCATTGAGGAAAGCACAATGGCTGACGTCCGTATGATCAATGTAACTGCTTTGATCTCTATCTTATCGTCAACTAAAAAAGTAAAAAAGGAAGGGGTTCTTGCTCAAGTCTTAAAAAGCTTAGAGATCCTCGACAAACATAGTGTAACTTCATCGTCGACAGATTAGTTTTGTAACGAGGAGAACAGCCCAGAACTGTTTCTCTTACACATACTACCTTTATTAAAGTACAGGTTTTTGATCCAAAAACAAATAACAATGGCGTATCGCGGGTTCTCAAAGAAATATTTGCAGCATCACAGATTTTTGATGGAGATAATGAAATGGGAGGGCGCCCCTATCACCAACACGGTGAGAAGGTGAAATCTTGGGCGGCGTTCCTGACAAGCCAACCTAGCATTCTGTCCCTCCGAGGTCTGTTAATGACTTCATCGCCGATCAGTACTCGAAATTTTTCTATGGGTCGAATCAAGTTCGAAGCTCCTGCGAGTCCCGCCCACACATTCAGCACCACCCCTTCCTTGTGAGCACTATTGCCTGGGAGGTGAAAGTTTCTCCCTTGTTTGTACAAGGTAGACAGTTTCATAACCGTAGGGAGTGCACCTTTTTGCCACTAAAATGTGCATGACAAGCAAGCTGTCGGCTTGCAAATGCTGAGTGTCCACGCCCACGTTCGAGTGTCCACGCCCACATCCCCGCTCTTGATGCAGCTTCCACTGATATATCTTCTCCCTCTTCGTCGTCCTCTGGGGTCTTTCCCGTAACCTCCAGGTTTTTTCCCCGTGTACCTGTACATCGGTCGAAATCTGCCGCGAGTGGAGCGTCCAGGGCTTTTCAGTTGTCTTTCTTCGCTACCAGCATCTAACTCTTGGAGACCCTTATTGAAAACCCTCAGTCCACGACTTGCTACCGGGATGTGACCTGAATAAAAGTAGGATGCTACGTTTTATGGTTCTCGCTTGGAGGCACCCCTTGTTTCGTACTTGAGAGCAAGATAAAAGGATTATATAATACTGACCCTCCCAAATCATATGCGATCGTTTTTATATTTTTTAACGCACAACCAATTGAAAATCACTGCAACGCTGGACAGGACCCCTGTGCTGTAGCGTAACATGAAACCCAGGCTTAAAAAATTTGGGCTACATTTCGTCAAAAAATTATTTGTGGTAAGTAGTGGTCTGAGACCGTGCATTCAACAAAATTAGTCAGCTGAGCGGTCGTTGAGCCCGTTAGGGACCAGAGGTGATTTTTTGCTCCCTCACGTCTTTTTTGTTCCTTCACATCTTGTTCCGGCAGTGCTTCCCTGCGCTACCCTTTTAAGAGGCCGGCAATTTGCCTTTCCAGCGAGTGCAATGGCCAATTTTTTCTCGAAGGCAGGAGAATGCAAATAGTGCATGTGCTCTTTCATCCGAACAAGATTTGCAACCCCTCATCCGGGTCCCAGCTTATAGCTCCAATCAAAGGCACATCTTGCACTGAGCCTATGGACGGCGTCACTGGGACAAGTGCACCCTCTCAAAGAAATAGTCCCTCCTTTAAACGCACTAAGAAACTGGACCGGTCGAGGAAATAGCGGTTGACCTCAAACTCCGCCCATAGAATTCCGCGTGGAATGTACCTTTATCCCCCGTCGCTGCACCAAGAGAGCTTGGCTAAATACGAGAACTTTGGTAAAACGCATGAGGCTTCCTAAGGTTTGACCCCTTCAATCCAGATGCGTCTTTGAAAGTTCACTCAGCCAAGAAAACCCACGTGCGAGAAGTTCATCTCAGGGAATCCGTTAAACACGGCGTTTTGGCTTCATACTTCCCGCGAAGGCTCGATTTTATAAAGGCCAATAAACTGGTGCAGGTTCGGCACTTAGGGCACTTAAAGACAGCTGAAGTTTTGCCCGCTACGGGTCAAGCTTTCCCACCCTCCCCCCCCCGTGGGAAACTCAAACTCCGATCATCCTTCCAGCATTTGCTCAAATTACAACATTGTAGCCCCATCTAAAACTCATTTCTTACCTGATCCCCCTTGCGCGGTACTCCGCCCACTATGGGGGACTCCGCCCGCCCTCGAAATCCCTTTAGCAGATAGATTGAACGTAAAAATCCACCCTTTATGTTAGGCAGACTAGGATTGGCTTTTCTCTAAATAAAGTAGGCAAATCACACCAGCCACGGAGTTGTCATGCACCATCAGCCATCAGATCGGCGTTAGTATGGACACTCCTTATCCCACGATTATGTCAAAAAAATATTTCTTCAAAAGCACATCCACCGCCACGTCTAGTAGAAGTACGCAGCCACGCCTACCGCATCTCATGGGTTTCGAGTGTAGTGCTGCTTTATTATTTGAAATTAGGTGAAGAGTGCTTTAATTAAGATTTCTGACAATAAATGACTTACATTTCTCTTAAATGATTCTGATAAGAACACGTATATGAAAGGATTCACAGCACGATTTATATATAGCAGCGCAAATGCAGCATATGATGCACACGTGAGAATTGATAAATTCCTGAAAGTTCAAGGGTAATCGATACATCGATTTTGTTTGTTCTTCTAATACAACTGTAATAGGCGTAAAATGTGAAATATGAGACAGGAAAGCGCTAATACCTTACCTACTCCACCCAATATTGAGTGATATTGACCACTGTATTAACCAATATGGCAACCAGCAAAGTGTATAAGATATGACAATCGAAAGACCCATAATGGTTACCTGGAAACAGTTAGATCAGTAAAATCGATTTTTTAATTTTTACAGTATTATTTCTTTGTTCATGGGCATACCTTGCAACTATGAACAAAGGAACAGAAGAACAGAAAGAGGTCTGCGATAAGCGGACAAGCTGAGAAATAAGGTGAGAAGTGAGGGCGTTATGCCTCCCCTATTGGTGCGCTCCTTCTAGTACAGAAGAAACGACGGGCGCTCGAAAACAAGTGATAGATCGCCGAGTTCGCCATCCGCAGTAGTAGCCCCACCCACCAGTTGGCTGCACCATCCAGAGATGGCAGATATTTCGATCTGTTGGTGCAAGACCGTGTCCCTCGTTACGCTTATCTTTTTGTTCTCTCACTCTTTTTCTTCCTTCTCTCAACCGCGCTTGAAACGTCTCTTCACCTTTTCTTCTCATCCACGATGAAAGCCAACTGTAAGAAGGAGGCTTTATACAGGGAGGCTACTCATAATTTTATCTGAATTATGTTGATGAGTGACTTACGATCTGCAATCGCGGAACGTGTTCCTAAAAAACGGCAGTGGGCATGATAGCTGGGGCGAGCGGTTACTGTCAACGTCATTGGTGGAAGGACTGAGTGGAATGCGGCCGAACGCCCTCTCACAGCCTTTCCGCCAATGACGTTGGCTGTAACCGCCCGCCCCCGGCCACATGCTCGCTCAATTCAAAGCTGGCTGTTCCTCATTTTCTTTTCAAACAGTGATATTTCCATTTCTTTTTTCACAAAAAATGCGTCTCCAAGCCACAGGAAACAGCCTT